GGTGACGTCAATGCTGACATTCACGGGCCCTGCCAAGCTCCTCGCCGCCCGACAGCTGACGTGGGGGCGGCCTCGGGGGGGAGAAAAGGGGCCACAAAGGTTGGTTGGTTGGTTGGTTGGTTGGTTGGTTGGTTGGGGCACGGTGGCCCCCCCCTCCCTCTGCCTTCCAAGGAGCAGCGAAGCTCCGTGTCGGGGGGTCCCGGGGAGATGCCAGCCCCCCCAGCTGCCCTGGAGGTGCAATCGGGGAGACGTGTCCCCCAGTACAGGGGGGGGCCATGGTGCAGGGGATGGGGACGGGGACGGGGGGGGCCGTGATGATGCCAAACCACAGCTGGACCAGCCCCGTCTGCAGAACCGGTGGGACCCAGCTTCCAATTTGGTTTTAACTGGGGCAACGGCAAATTCCACCCTCTCTCTTCCTCCGAGCCCCACCGCAAAACGCCCCCGAAGCCAGACTCCCCCCTGGCCCAGGGAAGTGAGGGGGGGGGATGGCATCTCTCCCGCTCCCCCCTGGACCGCAGCCACCGCAGCGGGGCTGGTAGCGGCAGCTGCGTCCCAGCAGGACCCGGGGGCCACAACTGGTTTTGGGGGCCCCCCAAGCCATCGCCCTGCAGCCGGCGGGGAAGGAGAGATCCGTAGCCCCGTTTTACAGCCGGGGAGCTAAGCCACAAGGTCTGAGCCTCATTAAGGGACCTTAATGAGCTTTTTTCCTGGCACTGAAGTCCCTTTATAGGGCCCGAGCGCGAGGAGGGATCAGGTGTGAAGCCACTGGCCCGAGGTTGGGGCGAGGAACTGGTTGTGGCAGGGGGGAGATAAACCCAGAACCACCCAAACCGTGGCCATCTCAGTCACCCCCGTGACCTGCAGCTCCAGGGAGATGCTGGCCCCCCAGGACACGCACACCCCCCCAGGCCTGCCTCGCTCTCTGGGGTCCCCACTGAAACCAGCAGCCCCCAGTAAAGGCTCCAACACCACCCAGAGCTTCCCTACAGCTGACGGCGCCGAAGGACAAAGCGAAATCCTACTGGAAAAGGGGAAACTGAGGCAAGGAGTGACACGAGGGTGGGGGTCTCGGTGCCCACACCAGGTGGGGCATCACTTACCCACGGGGCTGGGGCAGGCGCCGTTCGTGTTGTTGAGGTCTCCCCCCAGCATGGCCCCTGCAAAGGAATGGGAGAAAGGGGGTCACTCCTCAGTGGGAATCGGGGTGAGCATCCCTCCCTTCGGAGGGGAGGAATTGGAGGGGTTGTGGGGGGGGGGAGCGGGAGGGAGGCAGGCGGAGGAAAACGAGCGGCGGCGCCTTCCCGGGGAGAAAATCCTGGGCCAAAGGAGCAGCATTCCTGGTGATCAGGTTGGGAAACATTATCCAGGCAGATCCGTTTCCTTTGGGCAGGAGCCAGGCGGCCCAGGAGCCCGCTCCGAAGGAGGCGGCTTGGAAAACACTGCGGCTATTTTATTCCCAACCCTTTTTTTGGGGGGACACACACATACATGGGATACAAGGTGGGTGCTGCCGGGTCAGAGAGCCCCCAGAGGGGGAAACACTATCTGCCCAAATGGCAAACAGCCCCGGGGCTGCCAGGAGCCGCCACGATCCGACCTCCCGCCGTCCCAGCGCTTGGAAAGCGCCGCCGCTCCCCGTCGTGCCGGGAAAAACCATACCGGAGGCCCTTTTGAATCCCAATAAACTGAAGGGTTTTTTGCCTCGCCTGCAAAAAGATTTTCTTCTTTTTTTTTTTTTTTTTTTCCCCCTCCCTGCCTTGTTATTGAGTTATTTCTGAAAGCCACCTATTCACAGCCCAGGGCTGCCTGGCCACGCCGAGGGCGGTGATTTGGGGCCAAGAGGCTCCGGAGCCGCGACCGCAGTCATCCCGGAGCCCTGGGCAAGGGAACCAGGAGCCTCCCGAGCCCAAACCCCCCCTCCAACCCCCGCCCAAGCCCTTCACACCCCAGATGGGGAAACCTGAGACAGAAAGGCTTTTTTTTCCAGCCCCCACTTCCCAGCTCTGGGCTTGCAGCGAGCCCCAAAAGTGGGAGGAAGGCTGAGATGTGGGGAAATGTGTCTGCTCCCCACGTGGGAGCAGGATCGGGGATGATGGTGGTCCCCAAAAAGAGTTTCCAGCTTGAAAAAGGGCAAGGTGACCCCCAAAACGTGGCAGCCGCGTCACCGCAGCATCCTCCCTTCGAGGGATGGGGATGCGAAGGGGAGGGAAAGGGGTCCCAGCAGGATTTGGGGGCTGTGCCCTGCTGTGGGACCCCACTTGCACCCCAGATCCCAGCTGCCAAAGTGGGCTCCCCCCATAAAACCCCTCGTCTTCCCTTGTCCCTAGTCCAGGGCATCGGCCAGAGCCGAGATACCGACCCGACCCCCTGCTGCCTATTTGCTTTGGAAACAGCAGGGCAGAGCTCTGCTCAAAAAAATAAAAAATATAAAATAATAAAATTTAAGGGGAAAAAGAATTTATTAAAAAAAAAAAAAATAGCTCTTCTAACATGCAAGGGCCTGGCTCCTATAAACAGGATTTCTTCCGTGTCCCAGGCAGGGAGTGAATGAGACGCAGATGGCCGGACTTGGAACCCCTCCGCGCTCGCAACCGCGAAATTATCCCCCTTCAAACGCGGGGCGAGCGAGCAGGAGACGGCCGACCTCCAGCCATTCCGCAGGACAACCCAACCCCTGGGGGTTATTTTCGGCAGAGGGGCCTGCGAGAGGGCAGGGGGGAGCCCTGAAGCCCGAGCTACGGCTCTCCCTGCCCGAGGAGGGCTCTGCCACCCAGCCTGGGGTGAGATGTTGCTCTTTGGGACCAGTCCCAGGAGCCCAAAGACCCCTCTCCCCCAGCCCTGGGGGTCCCATCCTGCTCTCATAGAATCATAGAATTGTCTAGGTTGGAAGGGACCCCCAACCTAACTCTGACAAAAAAAATAAATAAGAAATAAACAATAAAAAAAACCACTAAACCATGTTCGTGAGGACCAGGTCAACGTGACTTTTGAACACCTCCAGGGATGGTGCCTCAACCACTTCCCCGGGCAGCCCATTCCAATGCTGGACAACCCTTTCCATGAAGAAATGTTTCCTAATATCCAGTCTAAAAAACCTCCCCCAGAGCTTCCAGTCATCCCCGAGACTGGTTCCAACCTCCAAACCCCGGCTCCTATCGCCTCCCAGCCCAGGCACCTCTTCCTACTCCCACCCAACCTTCTGGAGGCACCTCCCAGCTCTTCTCCCACCCCTCGGTGATGCCCCCAACGTGGAGGGGGCCGCCGGTGAGTGCCCACCCCCCCAAGATGTCACCGTCACTGGGTGATTTTTACAGCCCATCTGCCACAACCGAAATAGCAGGGGCTTTCTGCACGCTATAATTATTTATGATGGCACCGGGGGAGAGACGGGCTGCGGTCACACGTCGTCGTGGCTCTGTGTGTGTCCCCTGCTCTACCCCCCCTGCTGCCACCGCTGCAGGGGACACGGGTGACGTGCTCCTCTCTCCCGACCTGCCCTCCGCCACCCGCCGCCAGTCCCCGCTGGAAAGGGCTGCTCCCTCCCATCCGTCAGCAGATCCCTGTGAGTAATCACCAGGAGACCGACTGCGACCGGCGCAGCCCGACTCAGAAAAGCCCTTTTTAGGCAGCAGTCCCCTGTCACCGGAGTGTCACCGGAGTGCCACCGGCGAGCGGGACGCTGCCAGCCACCCCCCAAGCCTGGCAACGGCGCCGGGTGACTCATCTCCCTGCGCTGCCCAACCTCCAACCAAAAAAAAAACACCCCACCAGTTCCCTGCAGGGAGCCGGCTTTCGGAAAGACGTTGGTCAGGCAGGAGGGGTCATCCACCAGTTTGGGAACAAGGCACCAACTGGGGGAATCAAGCTCTGGCGTCCCCAGTTGGTGCCTTGGTCCCAAACTGGGGGCATCAACCTCTGGTAGAAGGGCAGGAAGGACACCCGTTGGCAACAACCCAAGGGTGCTCCTGCCACCCAAGGACGCAGGGACACGTGCTGTCCCCAGGAGGGGATGGTGGCAGCAGTGGTGTCCCCCCCCTCCAGGGAAGGCACAGAGGGGACAGGGAGGTGACTCCAGCCAGCCAGCACAGCTTCATCAAGGGACAGTCCTGCCTGACCAACCCAGTGGCTCTTCTGTGATGGAGCGACTGCATCAGGAGGACATGGATGGACATGGACATCAGGGGCTAGGGATGTCATCCATCTGGACTTCTGTCCTTTGGTCCCCTACAACATCCTTCTCTCTAAATTGGATTTGATGGGTAGAGGAGGAATTGGTTGGATGGAAGCACCCACAGGGTAGGGGTCAATGGTTCCACGTCCGGGTGGACACCAGTGACAAGCAGTGTCCTTCAGGGGTCCCTGTTGGGACCAGCTCTGTTTGATAACTTCATCCATGACATGGACAGTGGGATTGAGGGCACCCTCAGCAAGTTTGTGGATGACACCACACTGTGTGGGGCAGTGACACACCTGAAGGACAAAATGGCATCAGAGGGACCTGGACAGGCTGGAGAAGTGGGTCCATGTGAACCTCATGGGGTTCAACCAGGCCAAGGGCAGGGTCCTGTCCCTGGGTGGGGGCTGGAGCCCCTCTGCTGGGAGGGGGGGCTGAGAGAGTTGGGGGGTATCAGCCTGGAGAAGAGAAGGCTCCAGGGAGACCTTGGAGCCCCTTCCAGTCCCTCAAGGGGTTCCAGAAAAGCTGGGGGGGGACTCTTGATCAGGGAGAGGACAAAGGGGAACAGTGAGATCTCAGAAGAGATATGGGGCAGAAGTTCTTTGGTGTGAGGGTGGTGAGAGCCTGGCCCAGGTTGGCCAGAGAAGCTGTGGCTGCCCCATCCCTGGAGGGGTTCAAGGGCAGGTTGGAGGGGGCTTGGAGCAACCTGGTCTCATTGAAGATGTCCCTTCCTCTAGAAGGGATGGAACTGGATGGTCTTGAAGGTCCCTTCCAACACAAAACGTTCTGTGATGCTCTGGCGATTCCACCACTTCCCTGGGTTGGAGGGGACCTCTAAGGTCATCAAGACCAACCATCAACCCACCACTGACCAACCCACCATTGATCCGTGTCCCTCAGCACCGGCTTTGAGATCCCTCCAGGGATGGTGTTTGGGGAGTGGAGCCATATGATGAGGGGGAAGAGTTTTAAACCAAAACTGAGGAGATGGAGCTGAGATGTGGGGCAGAAGTTCTTTGGTGTGAGGGTGGTGAGAGCCCGGCCCAGGTTGCCCAGAGAAGCTGTGGCTGCCCCATCCCTGGAGGGGTTCAAGGGCAGGTTGGAGGGGGCTCGGAGCAACCTGGGCTGGTGGGAGGTGGCCCTGCCCAGGGCAGGGGGGCACTGGGTGGTTTTCAAGGTCCCTTCAACCCAAACCATCCCATGTCCCGAACTCGGCGCTGCACACCCGGCGAGGCAGGACAAATGGAAGATGCAGGATCCATCCTGGAGGCGGGATGGATCAGGGAGGATGAGGAAGGTGGGGGTGCATGAAGGGTCCCGGCATCGCTCACCTGCACTGGCCGGCCTCTGGGGCAGCCCCGGGGACACGGTGTTCCTCTGCAGCGCCGGCTGCTGCGGCGAGAGGAGCCGGGGGTCCGTCAGCGAGGAGGTCACCAGCGACTGGGTCACCAGGGAGCTGCCGGGGTTGCTGAACTGCAGGGTGTTCTGGTTGGTCACCGGCACCGTCACGGGCATGGCGAAGTTGGGAGCGGGCACTGCGGACTGAAGAGAGAGAAGGGGGGGGTGCGCACAAAGGCTGTCGGTGGGGGGGGGTCCTCTGAGCAACACTGGGGTCTGATCCTCCATCCCAGCAGCAACACCCCGCTGCTGAAAAAGGGGGGACAGTCTGGGGACACCCCCTCCCTGCCTCAAGCTCCCATTTCACTGCTGTGCCCGTGCCCTGCCCATGGTGGCATCTCAGAGGGATGCGCTGGAGCCTGGACCCCACCAGGGAAGAGTAATCAGAGACATCAAAGTTTTGAAACACTCCTGCTTTGAGCAACACAGGGCTAATTTCTCCTCTAACGCTTGGGAAAACCACACTTTTAGAAGACTCCTGTGTCCGAATCTGGGGAAAATACTGACTTTACAGCCAGCTCTGGGGGGGAGATTTCAAAGTCTTGGTGTTTTCCAGCTCCCCAGGTGCGGGGACGAGGAGGAGCGAGACCCGGGCACTTGACCCGAGCTGCCAAGGGGGTTCTTTCGTACCACGGATGTCACGTTCAATAGGAATCACAAAGTTTGCTGAGGAGCTTTCTCTCTCCCCCGCGATGGCTGGGATCCTGAGAACTCCTTGTCCCGGTGCCGGAGCCCTGAGCCCTTCCCTCCCTCCCCCATCCCCACATCCGCTGTCCCTGCGGGGAGGGACCAGCTTCCTCCGGTGGAACGGGCTGGGGATAGTCCTGGTGTGTTTTATACTGGTATCGGGATTAATACTGGTTGTTTAGTGTTATTAATTATCTAGCCTTATTCTATTAAATCTGTTTATATTTCAGTGCTCGGGTTTCCTTCGTTTTTCCCAATTCCCCTTCCCAGGTGGGGAGGGGTCATGGGGTGAGAGAATAATTGTCTAAACGACAATAAATTGTTGTGGGTTTCTCAAACCATAACAGCAACTGGTTGCTTTGGTCTCATTTTATTTACCCCCCCCCCCGTGTTTTCGGGGCAGCCCATGGAGAGGTGGCTGGAAACACCCCAAAGGGGGTCTGTCCCCCCTCCCAGCACCGAGAGTGGCCGAGCTGCCCTTCATCCCCCCGCAGAGGCCGAGCATCCCACTGGGATCCTCATCCGGCGGGATGGGAAGAGCCAGGGAGCGGATCCACCGCTTCGGGCTGGCACCGCTGCCGGTGCCCGAGCACCTGGGAAAGGCTGGTTTTGGCCCTCACAGCCCCCCGGGTGACACAGGGATCCATCCTGGCACCTCCAGGGGAGGAGGAGGAGGAGGAGGAGCTGACCCCGGGGAAGCAGGAGCATCGCTAAAGCCCTATCCTCGGCCACAGGTCGAGGACCAGCTTCACCCACCGGTGATTATCCCACCCCAGGATAATGTCACTGATCTGCTCTTCGTTAACAGGAGCAGGCACCTGCTTAGAGGCTTTAAGAGGAGCTTTGCTAAAGTCCCCACTTTGATTTGCTGAGGGCTGGATGGGACCAGCAGTGGGGCCGGAGCTGGGATCCCATGGGATGCACTGGCAGAGGGAGCCGGGCATCCCCCCACCGCATCTAGGGATGGAGGGGGGGGCAGATCTACTCCCCCAAATCTGCTCCCATATGGGTGATGCTCTTTTGGGGAGGAGGGAGCGGGACGGTGCCCACCCACACTCACTGCTGGGAACCCTCCCCCCCAGCCTCTCAAGGGCACCCCGTCCTCCAGAGACACCCGAGCTGGGGGGTGGTGGGACCACTGGGCAAAGGGACCTGGTGTGGCATCTCCCAGCCCTTCACCAACGGGACGCAGAGCCCCCCCCTCCACTCTTTCCCCCCCCCAGCTGGTTCTGCAACGGCTGCGACACCCGGAGGAGGAGGAGGAGGAAGAGGAGGAGGAGGAGGAGGAAGGTTTCTTGGGCGCTGCATGAGCAGCGTTGTGTAATAAATCACTGCAACCACGTCCGCCTGCGTGAACGTTCCCGGGAAGGGAAAGGAAAAGCCAAATCC